TATTTCAGCCGTGAAGCAGTAATACGTTTCGGTTCGAAGGGTGGGGTAGTCGTTGTAATTATAGTGAGACCTTAGAACTTATATCTCGAGGTGGGTGGCGGGCGCATTTACGTTGTAGATGTCTATGGGCTCCAGTAACCACTTAACATCAGGTGGGCTGTGAGCTCGTCCATTCATATAAGCAATAAAAAAAAAAAAATTAAAAAAAAAAAACCCTGTATAGTGAGAAACAAGACTGTGCCTACATAGTTTAGTGGGGTTGTGGAACTGTTGTATCGGCAATGACAATAAATCATGTAATTTGGCGTCGAAACGCGGATTCCGTATCCGGGGCAATATAAGTCTGTGGGGTGGATTATCGTTCTGACAGCAGCATGCGGTTATTACAAGAATTACATATTCGACAATTTATATTCGAAATAAATGTGAATTTTAGTAACGACATTACGTTTTTGTGTATCGGTTTTGTTATTAGGAAGTTTTAATCAATAAATACGTTTGTTCAATTGGAAAATATTATATTATTTGTTGGATACCTAAATCATTAAATTAGTACGTAAAAAACTTAGTTGAAAATGATTCAACAAAAATGTTATTTTATATATTGTTTATATTGTAATTTACAATCCTCGCTTTTTTTTTATTGCTCTTGTAGGCAGACGAGCATACGGCTCACCTGATGGTGAGTGGTTACCGTCGTCCATGGACTTTAGCAATGCCAGGGGCAGAGCCAAACCGCTGCCTACCGAACTCTGCCTCGCTTTCTCAGAACCTCTTTTTTACTTTCTGCGCGAAACGTCATGTGTTCTAGCATTAAAGAAATATAATTGACACTTGGACCTCAAGCCTCAAGAAAGATTGTGACTACATGTTTCATCATTCATGTAATCACTTTATACGAAATGGATAGTGGGTTCGTCTACATGACCATAGATAGCCAAATTCTTTTAAAGTCTAGTATAACTAGTAGACAGACATCACCCTTTGACAAACACCGAAAAATATATAATAGATCCTAGACCTAAAGAGTGTGCCCTTCGAGTGGTCATTCACTCAGTCAGCAGTCATTTATTATATGAAGAGAAGCTTCATGTTTTTCCTCACGACATCTGGACACAGGATCAGTTGAGAAGCCAAACCATGCACCTTCAGATCTTACATTGTCCTGTTATAATTGTTAGGATTCTTAGCCTATAGCGCCCCAAACAAAATTTTTTTGGATGTACCGGTTATCGGATCCTTTCAACAGGGTGTAGTTGGGTGAAGTTTTCCTGGTATTTTTTGCCAGAGTGATCTTGTTTTTGCAGACGCCCAAGATTTCAAATTGAAAGGAAGAATTTCAGTGAGTTCTTGAACAAGCTGCAATCAAAATAGCATCAGAATCGCCCAAAAGGTATCTATCTCAGTGCCCTTCTGAGAGAATTTGACCACTATTCAGTTGCTCCTTGAATCGCTTTGGCCCAGTATCCAACGAAGGATTAGCTTAATATTCCCGATTTTCCTACTCATTTAAAATTTCCAACGTACTTGTCATCGTGATGATACATAATTAGATAATTTAGGTTTAATAAAATTAACTTAGCACTTTGTTTTGATTTGTAAAGCTTTAATATCAATGACTGGTGATAGCTTGGAAAGCACGCACTTTTTAAGGTAACTTTGGTTTAATCTATAATCAATGATTGTAAGACGCAGACACCGGTTCTATCGGTTTCTAGAAAGACCCGGCCAATACATATATGACCAAAGCTATAACAGTGTGTCGATCGAAGTGGCTAGAGCGCCGCTGTACTACAAGAACAATAGGCGAAGCCGTCAACACAATGGACAATGCCACAGTACCTCCGCCACGATAATTACTCTCATCTAATGTTTGTTCATGCGCGCCGGTGTTACGTAACGTAATATGCGAGTTACGATATCCTCTGTAAACTTAGTCGGGCTGCTTTCGTAAGTATGTATGTGTCGATACGACGAAACTCATAACTTCTGTTTGACTCGTCACAATAGATTTCGACAGCTGCGATGTTGAACGGGATTTTCCATTCTAAATGAATAAGTACGTGTTAATCATTAGTGATTGTGTATTTTTTTTGAACTTTTTTTTCTCTGCCTATGCTGATAGTTTTCAGAGGCTATTTCAGCTTCGCCTTGACGTGTAGGTGAGCTCAAGGGGCTCAAACAGAAAAACGGCTGCCTACCGTTAAAGATACATTTCGAAGCTTGTATAATATTAATAAAGTTCAAAATAATAGGGAATGTTTTGATTTTAGCGTGAAAATTTTTATTCAGTATATGATTTTTAACGAATACGTTAGTTTTATTATACATATGTTCTATTATATCATCCAGCAAAAAAATGTCGATTAGGTTATAATTGAATAATAAATTACAAATTTTAAGGAAAGGAAAAATGTATTTCTTGAGCGCGAAGTGATTAAAGAAGGACATTTTTTATTTTTTATTTTTTTATTGCTTAGATGGGTGGACGAGCTCACAGCCCACCTGGCGTTAAGTGGTTACTGGAGCCCATAGACATCTACAGCGCAAATGCGCCACCCACCTCGAGATATAAGTTCTAAGGTCTCAAGTATAGTTACAACGGCTACCCCACACCCTTCGAACCGAAACGCATTACTGCTTCACGGCGGAAATAGGCGGGGTAGTGGTACCCACCCGTGCGGACTCCCAAGAGGTCCTACCAGCAGTAATTACGCAAATTATAATTTTGGAGGTTTGATTTTTATTACATGATGTTATTCCTTCACCGTGGAAGTCAATCGTGAACATTTGTTGCGTACGTATTTCGTTAGAATGCACCGGACGTCTTATCCTTTAGGCCACGACGACTACATGTCATAGGATTCGGAAAATAAATAGTAACTAGCAATGATCATTACATGCCGGATGATCACGGTAAGCTTTGAAACGACAATTTTATTCCAGGCGTAAATAAGTATGAACTTTGCTAGTATGCTATGAAGGCTATCACGAGACTACCTTGAAAGGTCCCCAGAGCATTGGACATGGAGCACGTTGTATACAACATAAAATCACTATCTCGTAAGCTCTCTCGTAGCTTGTTCAAAGCATGCCGTATTATTGGTACAGAAGGCGTGGTTTTTAGTAGATAAGTAGATTTGAGACATCACTGTTACGGCAAACATAAATTTGTGAGGACAAACACCATTACAGCGGCTTAGCTTCCCTGCAAACAAGGGCGGGTCGCAATGACACTATCGCGCATTCGACCGCTACAAATGTTTTATTGGCTTGAAATATGTTGCTAATATTGTAAGCGAACAAAAAACGATACGTGAAAGTTATTTATTTTATGATCTTGTTGGTATAGTAAATCCACAGATGTGACAAAGACTAGAAAAAATTACGTTGAATTTCGTACTACAATTCCTTCACGGTATCACCAACTTGCCTTTCTGTCGCAAAGCGTCACTTACTTTGCTACATCTATAGTGTCCCTACGTTGGACGTTGTCGTAAAGTCGTCGTTCTAATGAGTTAAACAAATGGCTTGTGGCTTGTAAACATTTAATTCTAAACGCTTATAGTCACACCGACATGAAACAGTTCAGTTCACGAAAGTCATTGTTATTAGTTTAATGAAATCGACGCGTCTAACGCTCAACTGCTGTCGTTCTATCAAAACATCTTGAGACGGAGAACCGTACGGCAACACCCGAACACCTTTCCACCTACTTACTGCCAAATAATAGATCGGGGCACGCGACAGGACACCGGAACAAAAGCGCAATGCACTACAAACCATCATTACCAAATCGAAGAAAAAGAAGTCAGCCAGCTGCCTTCCTACTTCCTCCCTATACAAAACCGTGTAATACAAGATGTACGTATTGTATGCCGGTTTATTTTAGAACTCATTCATTACGGCACTCAATTTGGCGCGTGTTCTTATCTTCATGTTAAATACGTGTGTGCGTTTGTTTGTGTGTGTCGCTGATTAAAATGTTTGCATAGAACAACTTTTTAAGCTTAAAAAAGTAGATACTTGATCCGAAATGACCTTTTTTGTTACTCTAAATATGAATTCACGATGATGACGTAATGTCCATATTATCACTTTCAAATGTAGGTTTTAAAAACAATTATCAAACAATATAATCGTAAATTAGAACCACGAAGTGTAATCATAGTAATGGTCGGGTGAAAACAATGCGCATTCTGCAACAAAAAACCGACATTCTTTATCTTGCAAGGAAATTAACAAGGCACGTGGCTTACGTTCGAGAATTACACTCCTTTAGTGCAAACCCCTAAAATCTGAGGTCAATAATATTCTGTTTATTCCAAAACCAGTTTCAAGATGCTCGGAGGACTCCATCTGCCGGGGGCGGTGCGTGGCGTCTTCCGCTGCATTGTGCGCCCAAAGAGAATATAACCACTGTGAACACCGGTCCCGCGCACGCGCTTGCTTCGGCAAAGGGCCACATTTGAAGGGTCATTCCGAATCATCGGAAAGCTCAAAGGCCATATCGTCTTTTCGTATTAAAAATGTTAAATTTTTTTAAATATTCAAAATTGAGTTAATATGCGGAATCATTTGGTTATCACCAGTATTTTTCTGATAAATTCTGCCGAAAAGAGCGTAGTTTATTTGTAGTTTTTTTTTTGTATTTACCTATGTTTTGATTACTATTAACAGAATTAATACATAATTTTATCTTAATTTAAAAGACAGATAATGTAACTGGTAAAAAATAAAAAAATAAAATTGCAAAGATGATTAATATTAAAAATATCACATGTTAAACCTTTAAAACACTCTCCTGTAAAATTTGTAAGTTTTGAGATTTTATAGTTTTAATGCGAGAAGACGATATGTTTATTATTCAGTATCAATCGATTTAATAGCCAGACTCAAATTTAATGTTTTCTTTTATTTAAATTTTCATTATAGTCATTTGGTTATTTGTAGAAAAAATAAAAGAAAAATTTTGGTCATACTAGTTTATTTTGTTTCAGGAAATAAAGAAGATGGCGAACCTACACATAACGGTAACGAAAATACAGGTTGGTTTTATAGGAGAGTTATAGAATAAGGTATTTATTTAAACTTTAAAGCGTCCATTTAGAGTTGATTATTCAATTATCAGATGAAACTTATATTTTACGGTTTTCTCGAGTTGTAGACATAATTAAAACTATTTTTACGGTTTAATCTCGCGTTTTGTATAGTTATTATAATATTTTTGACGTTTCGAATACTTACAATATTCATTGTCTAACTACTGCGACAGAGATGGTATTCGCCGTTATTTAAATATTGCGCTAATTAAAAAAAATATAGACCATACTTAAAAATAATCGAAAATAATATAATGACAATAAAAAATCCAAGATTAAACCGGTAAAATAGTTTCAACTATAGATAAAACTTATAAGATTCGATGCAAACAAAAACACAGCTAAGACTTTTTTTAATTCAATAAGTCTCAATTTAATAGACGTATTATTTTATTTCATGATTGAAAATCAACCCGGAGTATTTAAAATTATTGAGGCTTAGATACGTTATGTTATTAATATATTTTAAATAAAACAGTAAATGTCGATGTTTATATACATATACATACATTGAAGAAAAGTCCTAAAAATAGAAAAGCGGTAATAGTGATTTATTTAAATTATTTTCTGTCGGTCTGTCTGTTTGTTTGTTGGCGCACATCTCCGCCACTATTGAATGGATTCATGTACATTTATATAGTTTTCACGTAATAAATTGGATTGGATAATAAATTGGAGCAGATTTTCGACAATGTTTCATTAAAATTGGATCATGCAACAAAGCAACTAAGGTTTTTACTCTATTTTCCTTAATAGAGTTAGATGCTAGTAGTTAAACAGCAAATGACATTATTACATAGAAAAAAGTATCCGTGTCTGTCTGTTACGTTTTCACGCCTGAACGGAACGAGGTTGTGAAGGAATTCGGTATGGGATTTTGAAGACTAGGGAAGAATATAGACCATGATCTCACATCCGAGCATGGGTTCTCGTCCTACGCGATTAAAAGGGTTATTCGAAGCCGGCAAAGTTGAAGGCTGAAGGAAGTCATTTAAACAGTCAGGCTTTTCCTTCTTACTAAACAATACTCTACATCCTACTTACTTAAAATCTCTAGTTATCTTTTAGGATAGACGTTCACTAGGCATTTCCGCAAAAAATCTGATACATTTTTGAAAGCGATATCTTGATATGAAACAAGGCAAAAGTTGTTATCATAAATACAAGACTTCAATTTCGATTAAAGACAAAACGATGCGCACCAGTTACGTTTATCGCAAATATTTTATTTTTGTCTTATCAATCATTATCTCATAGATAGGTCAATGGAAGTTTTTTGGTCAGTGATGAGTACACCTTTTAATGCCTAGAGGTGCGTATTCGGTTATTTCAGTGAAACAGTTTTCTTGATATATGTATGTACTTTAGAGAGGACTTTATTTTGACAAAAAGAGTTTTGGACATACCTAGCTGGATTCATTTTATGGTGAGTATACTTTTTTAATAATTTAACTTCAGTATTTTCTTTGTGTTACGACAGATTTGAATAGGTACTGTTATATTTTTATCGAAACATTTTTATGCTATAATTAAATTTCAATATATAATTATTCAAATAAAGATTGTTAGAAATGATTTTATTTATGGTCTATTTCTTTATCATCGTTATCTGTTCACTTCTGGATATAAGTCCCCCTCGAAGCTCGCCGTAATGACCGGTTCAGCGGATTTTCGCGACCTTCAATAATAGGTCATCGGGTCACGTTGTGAGAGTCAGATTCACGCCGTATCTTCGCGTCCGCGGCTGCTATTTAAGGACTTTTTGGCAGCAGCTCCAGCACCCTTTCTGTTGCTCGAATAATGTGCCCACTGTCACTTCAAATTTGCAATCCTTCAAGCTCTTTCCTTTAACGTGGTTCACCTATGAATCTCCTCATTCTTGTTTTAATCTCGCCAGGAAACTCCGACTTCTCTCTATTGCTCTTTTGGTGGTCCGTGTTGGATCTGCCCATTACTGAAGTTGCTGATTATTCGATGTTGCACCTACCTAGTTAGACAGTTTGACCCTTCGGCCATAGAATCTCCTGAAAATCTTTACCGTAGCGAGCATACAAGGACTTTCGAAATATTTTTTTGTTTTCATTACTCTTTTTCCTACGTAATCTTTGGTAGCCTAATTACAACTACTCACAAAGCGGTAGATGAGCTCATGGGTTCCAATCCAACCGAGAGAATTGCAAACACTGGTCCTAGCAAGGGCAGTGCTTTGCTGAATCTACCACCAGATCGAAATCCGATAAGATAAAGGAATCCGGAATTTGAGAAGATCTGGCGAGATAATCAGTAGGTGTATCTATGAGCTAATTCGCATGACGAAGTGTTTTCATACCAACGCCCACTCAGATATAAGCTCTACTGAAGTCATCAAGGGCTGTAGTGAGGTCGTCTCTGGTTCAACTATAGCCCGGATGTGGTTAGGAAACAAAAATTAATATACTCGCTGTTTTATCTTTGTGCAAATTTGAGTTTCTGAACACTTAAGTCGGGATGGTAGAAGAACAGTTATTTTGAATTCATGTCATTCTAATATACAAATATTTTGCTTTTTTGAAATATTTGTTTCTTTGAATATTTTACACATTGACTAATCACTGTATTGATAATCTATAAAATTATTTGGTTGTATTTTTTTTAAAAGGCTAAGATAAAGCGTTAAATAAATGAGTCATTTCTTTATTTTTTATCTTTTAATTAATACACCGCCAAATCTAAAGCACGCATCGGCAGACGTCGTAAACAATGCGCTTAACAAGTTTATTTATATATTTAAAACATAGACTCAATTGTTTAGTTATTGTTTTTCTTTAGATTCCATAGATAATATCCATTCCTACATGCTTATAACTATCGCCAAACCAACCATGTGTTAACATAGTTATTTGTTGATCAATGAGCTGTTGAGTATTTTCTTCGATTTTGAAGACAGTAAAAACGCAATGAGATTATAGATTTAATTTTTTTTTTATGAAGGAAGGATTACTGTTTTCCAGTCTTTCCAGTTTCACCAGGACAGGTGGGCGAGCAAAGGCTCAGCCAGGAGGGGGGATTTAAATGAAAACAAGGAACGTGAGTTAAAATCGTGAAAATAATTTTAATTATTACCCCTAATTATTACCCCATTATTATTTAATTATTATTGAGTTGATGTTCATGTTGGACAACTAAAGTGGCGGATGAAACGCGATTGCATGCAGCAGAGATGCGAATGTTGCGATGGATGTGTGGAGTAACGAGAATGGATAAAGTACGAAATGAATATGTTAGAGGAAGTCTGAAAATGGCACCTGTGACAGAGAAGCTGAGGAGTGCGCGTTCTTTTTTTTATTTATTTATTGCTTAGCTGTTTGGACGAGCTCACAGCCCACCTGATGTTAAGTGGTTACTGGAGCCCATAGACATCTACAACGTAAATGCGCCACACACCTTGAGATATAGTTCTAAGGTCTCAGTATAGTCACAACGGCTGCCCCACCCTTCAAACCGAAACGCATTACTGCTTCACGGCAGATATAGGCGGGACGGTGGTACCTACCCGTGCGGACTCACAAGAGGTCCTACCACCAGTAGGATGGTATAGACATGTGATGAGACGAAATGAAAATGAGGTTGGTAAGAGAATGTTAACTATGAATGTGGAAGGATATAGAGGAAGGGGTAGACCTAGGAAGAAATGGATGGATTGCGTGAAAGACGATATGGGTAAGAGGGGAGTGAGCGAAGAAATGGTATATGATAGAAGAGTATGGAAGGAGAAAACATGTTGCGCCGACCCCAGGTAACTGGGAAAAGGGCAGGATAATGATGATGATGAGTTGATGTTCATAAGGAGCCTTCGTAGTTTCTGTACTTTATTGATCTTTTCTTATTACAAAATACAAAATGATAAGAAACAGGATACAATTCTGCAAAGCAGCGATGACACAGGCATAACGATGTGGATAAAGATATGTCTGTATTGAGATAAAACTGATTATTGGCTTAAGTTGTTTAATTATATTTATTTGTATGTCTTTCAGAGAATACCGTGTCTTTGTTGTACTTATGTGAGATCTTAGGAGAATTTAAATATGTTTGTGGCGACGAATCTATTTCCCATTTGGAATACAGTTACTAGCGAAACCTAGAGACATTACAACGAAAATCTTAACTTGAGATATGATTTCGTAATCACAAATTCAACATTTTTTATAGCTATATTACGCAGACTGTCACAAAGTTCACTTGATGGTGACGGTCACTCATGGACGTCTATAATACCGAAGACAGCCAAGATGTGCTTACGGCTGAGAATTCTTCTCAAATCTCTTTTGTTTGGAGAATGAGACGACATAGCGCTCGGGTAACACTGTGTAGGGAAGCTTACTGGTGTTAGGACTTTTTGAGTCCGCACGGGTAGGTACCACCACCCTGCCTATTTCTGCCGTGAAGCAGTAATGCGTTTCGGTTTGAAGGGTGGGGCAGCCGTTGTAACTATACTGAGACTTTAGAACTTATATCTCAAGATGGGTGGCGCAATTACGTTGTAGATGTCTATGGGCTCCAGTAAACACTTTGGGCTGTGAGCGCGTCCACCCATCTAAGCAATAAAAAAAGTTTATTATAAAGCCAGCGGTGACGAAAAAATCATTTCTGATGAACTTAGCTCCGCTAACGAGCGGCGGGGTGGTATAAAGGAGAAGACGCGATCATCTCGAAGAATTTCTCAGAGCACGTCTCATAGCGGAAAGCGTAACTACTTTCGGGCTGATAATACGACTTTTCTGTAATTAATTCAATTGATAAAATTTAACGAGTTCTGTTTTATTAATGATGTTATTCTTTTAACGCGAAAGTCCTTCGTGATCACGTGTTATGTACGTATTTACCTAGAAAAATTGGTACCACGGGTTATTATATTTCTTTGTCACGCATAATACTGATTCATTTAATTACGCTCATAAATGATT